GTAGGGTGTGTGCCGGCGATGGTGTGCCCGGTCCTGGCTGCTCCCCGGGGCCGGCACAGTGTCCACCGTAGCGGCAGGGAAAGCAGCGGGCAAGTGGAGACAGGCTGATCCTGCAAAGGTCTGACTCTCAGTTGCCCTCCCGCTGGGAGAAACTATGTGTAACAACCTTCACACAGTCTGATGATGAGGGGGAAAGCCAAAGTAGGTGACGACAAAGGCTGGTTCTGGCAGAAACTGACAAGAGGGCCCAAGGGTGCAAATAGGATGACGTCTAAAAAGCAGCTCGGGGGTGGCTGGGTAAAATACTACTTCTCTTCTCTGGAGGCCCTGGGCATGTAGGCAGGCCCTGTGAGCAAAAGCTGTAGGGGGGCAGTTTGGTGGCAGTGATAAGTGAGGACTTCCTTGTGTACCCGAGAGAATTGAAAGCAGGGTCCCAAACAGATCTCTGTCCACCCATGTTCACAAGAGTGGTACTCACAGCAGCCAAAAGGTGCAAGCAACCTGACAGACGAATGCAGTACACACACACAATAGGATGTTAGTCAGCCTTAAAAGGGAAGGACATTCTGGCACCTGCTCCAACATGGATGAACCCCAAAGACCTACCAGCTGAAGTCAGCCAGACACAAAAGGACAAATACTGTAGGATTCCACTTAGACAAGGTGGTCAGATTCATAGAGACAGTAGGAGGGTGGTTGCCGGGGCTTGGGGTGGGGAGTTGTTGAATGGGGACAGAGTTTCTGTTTTGCAAGATGGAAAGAGCTCTTGAGATTGGTTGTACTTGAATGTACTTAATAGTGAAATGTACACTTCAAAATGGTTAAGATGGTGAATTTTAGGCTATGTGTATTTTATCATAGAATTTTGTTTTTAATTAAAAAGAACATTCAGGGGCACCAGGGTGGCTCAGTCGGTTAAGCGCCCGATTCTCGATCTCAGCTCAGGTGTCAGTCTCAGAGTCATGAGTTCAAGCCCCGCATTGGGCTCCGCGCCCCACGTGGAGCCAACTTAAAAAAAAAAAAAAAAGAAAATTCAGATACTCTGAGCTGCTCTGAGATGGGATGTGTGGCTTCAGGAGGCAGTGGGGGTAAGTGTGTGTGTGTGAGTGTGTTACTTCCCGTCTTCTTCCTTCACTCTACCCCGCCCCTCTGTCCCTCTTCCTATCGTGAATTCCTTGCTGACTTGAGAGTCATCTGCTCCTCATCTTTACACTCCCCAAAGGCAAAAATGAGTGTTCCAAGAAACACGCCGTGATATGGAGTCCCCCATGGCAAGATCACCAGCCACCAACAGCCACGGTCGGCTCTTGGGGATACGGCTGGAATGGGGCTGTGCACCCTTGCCCGTGTGGCCAGCCTCCACTTGCAGTGTTGGGCAGGCAAGACCAACCTTTACAGGACAGCACGTCGAGGCTGGCTGGCCTTCCCCTGCCCAGCCCCATGGGGCTCGCGTTGGCAGGACATGCCCAGTATGTGCTTGCTTCACTTCCCAACGTTAATGTTTCCCAAGAGACACGTCAGAGCTGATTTCTCAGGGAAGAAAATGTTGTACAGGAACCTCTGCTTAGGCCTCGAAGACCAAGATGCTCCCTAGACCAACCACATCACACAGTCTGATTATCCTCCAGTGGGCCTTCGTCAGAGCTTGGCCTAGATTGGACGTTGGTTCAGATACTTCAAATGGTGTTTACTGGTCATCTGTAGGATGGCTGTTACACTACGGATGAGCCGGTGGATGATCTCTCGTATCGCAGCAGCCCTGAGGGCTCAGTCCACATTATGCACCGGGGTAAACTGAGGCTCAGAGAGCCTCACAATCCACCCAAAGGCATATCATTATTAAATAGCACAACTGAGATTTGAACCCTTTTCTCTATGATGCTATTTTTACTCTACTACGCCAACTGCTATATAGGCTTTAAACTCAAGATTGTAACAACCCAGCACCTTGACATTCAACTTAATTCAAAAAATACTTCATGTTTATCCTGTGCCCAGCTTGGAGAAGTGGTACTCTTGCTGGGGAGGACTAACTAACACTAACAGGTTAATAACCAGCGGACGGAGTGGTATACAGCATTGGTCCGAGGGTAACGGAAACGATAGCAGCTAATGTTTACTGAGAACTTACTAAGTGCCAGGCACTCTGGAATGACTTTAGAACAGCTCCCAGTACACTTGCTTTGCACACGAGGAAATCCACTGCTGAGAAAGGTCAGGACGACCACCCGAACCACAGAGCTGGTAGGGCAAGGTTTGGTCTGTCTCTCTTTCAAAACTTATGCCCCTGACTACCGTACTGCCCACCCTCTCCAATTGCCCATTTTATAGCAACACCCCGCCCTCCAGCTCTGTGCTCTTACACACCTGGCTAACTGTTTAATGTGTTTAAGACTTACTTCTCCAGCGACACTGCCAGGACCTCAAGAGCATAGAGCGCTCGTCTGCCAGCAGCTGATAGAGCACGGGGCACGCCGGGGTGCTGGGTGAACGGCTGGTGAGTGATTGATCCATGTGATCACGTCTCCGAGTCCTAGGATGCAGGAGGGCTTTACAAGAGAATTTGGAGAGAACATAACCAGCTTCCTGTGGGGGCAAAAGCCCAGTTCTGTCTATTGGCAGCGTAGGATCATGGAATGAGAGAACACAATTGCTCCATTATTAAAAGGAAAAAAACAAAACCTTTAAAACTCCCCACTGTCTGCAGAATAAGTAAGGTCCCTATCCCAGGCCTGAATGCATAGATTTAATTTCAAGTGGTCCCAGACTGGAAATGCCCCCGAGGTGCCCAGCAAAAAGTCATCTTCCTCTTGGGACTCAGAGAATACTCACAAAGAAGTTTCCAAGGACAAGGAGCAGCAAACAACAAAAAATAACCAACTATTCAAGGAACCCAGTAAAAACCAGAAGAAAAAATAGTCCACAAAAATAGATCAGTGAAGGGCGCCTGACTGGCTCAGTCACTTAAGCATCCAGCTCTTGATTTCAGCTTAGGTCATGATCTCAGGGTCCTGGGATTGAGTTCTGTGTCGGGTTCCACGATCAGTGCGGAATCTGCTTGAGATTCTCTCCCTCTCCTTCTGCCCCTCCCCCCTCCAAAATAGATCGGTGAAGACTTCAGTTGTTTGGATTACCAGGAACAGACTATATTCAATTTTTTTAAATAATTTTTTATTGTTATGTTAATCACCATACATTACATCATTAGTTTTTGATGTAGTGTTCCATGATTCATTGTTTGTGCATAACACCCA